GTTGACTATGCACCGATGTTTTATTAGACCAAAGGTTCATTGTTCGCCAGAGTTCTCCTTTAAATGCTAAATGCAATGTACTTCCCATTCTCTTAAATCTAAAACAGATTCTTACATGTGTAATCCCACAATATACTACAGAAATTATTTATTTATTTTTTTTAAATCTCAACTTGTAGTTTATTTTAATTATTGTGATCACTTTACTTTTCTGCTTCTTGATTTGTGGTGGAGCCCGGCCTCCAAGAAAAAGAAAAAAGGAAAAACCTGAAACAAGAAAATAAAGATTATTTTGTTACTTCTAATACAGAAATCGAGTCCACCAGCGGAGCCCGGTCATCCTTCGTCAGGTAGCTTAGTATAATAAAAGCTCCATCTGACCACAGGCCGACAGTCCTTATTGTTCCGCCTTCCCACAATTCCCTATAGACTGTTTTAACAAAATTATATTATAAATACCATCGCTGTTTTAAACGACATCCTTTTGCCAAGTGCACCCAGCCTGTTTCAGTAGTTCTTCAATCATTTTTTCCGGTTTTTCCAGTCTTGCAACAGTATTAAAAGGCTAAACTACTGATGATGCAAACTACAGGCAGACAAATGAGCCCAGAATATAAGCAAAAAGTGGATCCTAAAAGACACTGGATAGAAAAATAATCACCATCTTAGTCCATTAAGCCAAGTTAAGCATTCTTTTGTGGTTTTCTACGTGAGGAAAACTTTTAACATGCAATTTGGTTTATTCTGGCTTGTTATATTTGATTGTATAGACCATTTCACAAGATGTAAACAACACTGGTCCAGAAGCACTTCCTGTTTCAGTTTGTAACTGTTTTCTTTATTTCACATGTAAAGAAAACATCTTAAAGATGTTTGTTTAACTTTTTGATTCAGTTTTATATGGTCTATTGGTTGTATTTTATCCCGGCTTTCATGTAGTGTTAAAAAACTGAAACAGAAAGTGCTTCTGGACCAGTGTTGTTTACATCTTGTGAAATGGTCTATATATAAATTGGGAGCTGAATGTGGTCTTTTATACTGTTTTAATGCACGTGCTTCTGTGTCTGTTGAACATTTTAGAAATCCCAAGCGGATTTTTCACAGCATAAAGATGTACAGGTACAGTTCTTCGGCATCCGTTTGACTCGCCTATTTCTCTCATTGTTCCGATACTGGCTTTTGTTATAGGGGGTTTAACACTTATTTGAGATTCTCATTTGTTAAATAACATTTGTCTCTCGCAGTCATTCTGTTGGATTTCCACTCCAGAGAACGCTATAGACGGATTCACACACTGTTAAAAAAAATCAACAGTATACTCTTGTGTTAATGTTTGTTTGATGCGGTAAATAATTTGAATATCAAATAAAATGTTATGACCAAAGGCAAAGTCAACGTACTTTTTTCAGTAACCTTATACCTCTCTTTCCATGAAGGTGTCATATGGACAAACCTTAAATATTTAGTGTGTCTGAAGATCCCGGTTCCCCAGGTGTCTTCTTTAAGGTTAAGACTTAAATTGATGCAATATAACTATAATAAATGACCCCATACGCACCACAGACAAGTGTTTGTGCACAAACATCCACGTCAAGAAAGTAATACAGGAATTTGATCATATTGTTTGTGTATATACTGGATCTCCTGGGTGTATATACTGGTTTTGCCGGCCTGTGTTTTGTACTGTATGTTCCCACACAATAATGTCTTCAAACAAACTCCTTAAATTTGCTCTGTAGGATTTGTGTTTACATATCTGTAGCTCTGCCCTACTAACCCTCAAGTTGTTCCAAACCTGTATAAATGTCTTTTTTTCTGCTGAACGCAAAGATATATTCTCTATATATTGATATTAAATTATTTTCTATATTTTTTAAATAATTTTTAGGAGACTGTGCATTTTCCAAGACATTGTTTTTCCCAGCAGGTTTTCCACCTTGTATTGTTAATGCCATCCTTTCTACCTCATATCTTTTACAATCGAATAAAATGTGTTTTATTGTCTCTTGTGTGTTACAGTGGGTGCAAAGTCCAGTGTGGTGTTTTCCTTTTCTGTGTGATGTGAAGTTGAGTAATTATCTTTTCTTCTTTTGGATTTCCGGCCCGCCTAAAGCTTACGTCTACTTGTTTTTGTACATTATATAAATGTCGTCCAGTTTCAGCTATATCCCAGTATTCTTGCCATATTTTGTTTATATTTCCCTTTATAATGGTTTTCATTTCTGCTCTACATAACGGTACTTGTTTATCAACTTTTTTCCTGTTTTATCAACCCGATCTCACGACCAATTCGTACGAATTCGACGAATGATTAAAAAGTGGCTAATTCGTAACAATTCATACGAACTCACTCGTACGAATTAATACGATTTTGCTAAATCGTACATATTTTACGAATTGGCCAATTCGTATGAATTCGTACGAATGACCTACCCCTTACCCCGTCCCCGCCCCTAAACCTAACCATCACGTGGGTTTAGACAAATCGTACGAATTAGTACGAGTGAGGTCGTACGAATTAGTACGAATTAGACACTTTTTAATCATGCGTCGAATTCGTACGAATTGGTCGTGAGATAGTGTTGGTTTTATTGATCCTTTAGCCAAAACATCTACAATCTCATTTCATCATTTTATTTTTTCCCGCATTAATTTCCCACATGTCTAGTACAATTATGTGGTTTTGTTTTATTAATACTATGTATACTTTTTTCTTGATTTACCCTGAAAGAATGGAAGTGAAATGTGACAACATGCCCCATAGGTGCCTCACATTGTAACATCACCATATAACAGTTTAAAATGCTATCTCATCTAATCCAAAAAAATATACAAGTCAAACCAAAATATTTTCTTAATAAAATACAATTATTAACTTTTTCACATAAAGTAAATGGCATTTTTTTTAATAATTAAAAATAAATAATTTTTGAATATGACAACAAACACACCATAAAACACAGCTATACAGCATAGTTCAAAGCAAAATAATAATTAATAATTTCTGTACATTGACTCTCAGTCTTTGTTGGTCATGTTTTCTCAATAGAATTCATCAAAGTATAGAATATAAAAGCATATTTCTAATAGGGGCACATTGTAACGCAGTGTGACAACATGCCCCGACTGCACAACTGGGTTTAAACCCTGCTAGTGTCTTCTGCTAGTTAGCGAAGCATTAAAGAACAAGAATAAAATAATATCAGATTTGTCTAAACTTAAGTAAGAATTAAATGTTCAGTGATATCTTACAAAAATTTCAGATTTCATTTGGTGCAGTTTTTCTTTGTTGAGCAGATAAGGAACTCCCGCACACTATCATTACTTGCACTTTTCAATCAAGTTTATTCACACACAACGTTTCGGTCACACGACCTTCGAAAGCTTGAATGCTTGAATGACTAGCTGGTCTTATTATCCGACGCACCTATCACCTGCAGGTGTGCGATGGAGTTTGGTCACTAATTGTCTCTATATAGTGTTGAAATGGCAACTAGTAAATACACCAAGTTTCATCATGTCAGCATGTGTGGTGGAAGTATTTAAAACAAGCGTGTAACAACTAGCCCCGCGTTACTTTGTGCCTCGTGCTGCCCTACCTCTTTCTAGCTCAAATAGAGTAAATGCCAACTGCAGATCTCTTAGATCTTTCTACTATTACTGGATTTTGAGCAAATATCTGGTCTCTACACTGTAAAAAAAAGTAAAATAAAAAAAGTTTTCCTGTTAAAAATACAGTAGCAACATTTTAGGGTTTACAGACTTTTAATCATACATAATTTTACAGCAATAAACCGTCTTTTTTATCTGATATAATGTTAATTTACTGACCTTTTGAAGTAATATCTGTTTTGCTCCATTGTAATACACTTACAGCCAATAATCTACTCAAGAGTCAAGTCACATGACCAATCAAAGCTCATCATAAGCAGCTCTTCCACAATAAAATCAACACTATTGAAATTTTAAAAATGCAATAGGCATTAATTTAACAACATTAAAGCTAACATAAAAACGTACATAACTGATTAGAAAAAAACTAAGAAAATTATGAAGAAACAGTTATTTTAAAAAATATATATTGTGAAGTGTTACGCAGGCAATTGTGGGAATGTCAATTTACATTTTTTCACTGTAAATTTTACATTGATTTTTTTCTTTTTCACTTCCAAAAACTATTTTTTCAGTAAAATTACATTAATGTACCATTTATATATATATATATATATATATCACAGCTAGCATTTTTCTTTTTTGTATTTACCATTAAAATCACAATTTTTTACACTGTGCACAGCTGTTATGGATAGATTTTCAGAGCTGTGAATCTTCAAAAAAGATCAGCTTTTTCTACATTACTTATTGCATTTTTATCATTACGAGCTACATTACACATGGTATTTCCACATTGTTTCTTATTCCACTCATTGTCCTTATTGTTCTCCATGTCTGATAACTGAGTTTCTCTTCTAATTCGAATACAGAATAGTCTCCATTATTCATGTTTGGCTGTCCGAATAATTGTTTTCCTAACTTGTGTAGTTAAGTGTTCTCACTTCACTATCATGATGTTTCTCCTCTCCAATCCTGGTTACTATTGCATACTTTGGTTATTATTACTTCTGTCAACTGGTTTAAAACTTCCCAAATGCTGATTCCTGCCATTACAGTTTACATTATTTCTCGTCAGAGAATATGAGACTAATATAAAACCACTTGCATAAAAAAGGCTTTTATGTTTTTGTGACTGCAGTTTTATGGTCCATGTCTTGCATTTGGTGAAACAGACTGCATCCCTGCGCATGGCTCATGGGGAAAGGAAGACAAATAGACGTAATTATAAGGGCCATGAAAGCCAAAATATCCAAAATATATCCAAATAAGATGACAAAAAAAACAAACACTAGAAACAAGCTTGAAATCACAACAGAAGTGTGGTGACACATTACAAGGACTCCATAACAACACTAAAACAGACAGGGTACACACAATCTAACAAGGTGATAGGAAACAGCTGAGTGCAATCAATGAATGAACTGATGAGTGACAGACAGAATGCTGGGAAATGAAGTCAAATGTGAAAGACACTGTGAGAGCCATAGAGCCTAATGGAAAGCAAGGGAACACAACCAGACACTGTGACAGGTAAAAAAAAAAAAAAACAGTTGACATTATTGTCAGATCAATAACACTTTTTGTATTATGTGAGCTACTATTCCTTGTACCATTAATACATACCAAATTTTACCTTCTCAACACTTCCCGTATATGTTCGCCTGCACATCTATACCACTTCTCTGTTATGTGGTAGATGTGCATATTGCCATAGACACATGACCATATTTTTACCACTCATAGCACCACAGTGGTCAGGTGGAGGAATATATGCCTATTAATAGCTCATGTATCTTATCTACACCTTATCACCAGGAAGACTCGCTTCATCAAACTTAATCAAAACAGAGAAGCTATTGCATTTCTCCCCACTTGTTTACTTCCAGTAGCCCACTGTTGCCCCTGTCATATTACTAGCCTATCTTTCATTTGTTCTTCTGAAACATCTGTTGGTATTCAGTGGTGGAATGTAACGAAGTACAAATACTTTGTTACTTTACTTAAGTACATTTTTCACGTATCTTTACTTAAGTAGAATAAATAGTGCATACTTTTTACTTTTACTTCGTTACATTTTGCAGCAATTATAATACTTTCTACTCTAAATTTGTATTCTACTCTAATTATTATACTTTCTACTCTACTTATACTTTTCTACACTAAATGTGTCTCGCACACAGTGTGTTTATCGTGCAATTTATACGCAAAAATGTGTTTTTATGTGCATAGGAAACGCACCGTGTGTAGGCCTATACATTTGGTTAGGATTAGCCTACGACAAGCCAAGAGGTTCAGAATTGTACCATAAATTAATCGCGTTTACTGCCAAAGATAGTTATTAATATATAGTAAGGATAAGCATGATGTGTAGCTATATTGTCTAATTGCAAGCTTGTTTCAGAAATGGTGACAACAATTTTTTCCCATAATTATTGAACATCATTATAGGAGTATTAGGTGGAACGAGTTAGAATTAAATGTTTTTTTATTCATTAGAAAAAAAATAGACATTAAGAGAATAAATTGTTATGCAAGTACTTTTACTTTTAATACTTAAAGTAGGCTACATTTAAAATCGGGTACTTTTTACTTAAGTATGGTTGTCATTGTGTTATTTCTACTTTTACTAAAGTAAATATTTATCTGTTTATTTGTACTTTTACTTAAGTACTGAGATTCAGCACCACTGTTGGTATCCTAAATTAATCATTTTTTTGTACTCACACTCTCTCTATTTTATTCAGTCTTGCGGATTTTTATTGCTGCACTATATTTTCTACAAACAATCAACTGATCCGTTTCTCAACACCTTCGCTCCACAACTTGTTGAACTGAACAAATCAACAATTTGATTTCGCAAACATTGTAGAACGAATCTGTAGTTTTGAGGAACCGAAAGACAGGTAAGTCGAGCCCAGCGGGAAACTCCCCTGCCCTGACGAGGAGAAGGTGAGACCAGATACCGGAAGCACTGGAGCTGATTGTCCGCGCGTAATGACGATTGTCTGGACCTCATTCGTGTGGAACATCATTTCCAGTTAAGAGTTTACATTATTTTGTCTGCAACTATATGTATTGAATGTCATGCCTGTTATTTAGACTAGAATCTGACTGTATTTTTTTTTTTTTTCATTGAGGTTGTTACTGATCTAGCTGGTCCGGGTTTGTTTGGATAAGGAGAGGCGGTGTTTCGAAACGTCAGAGCTTTACACTTGATTTTATCGGGGTTGAGTTTATATGTTTTGAGACTTCCGACTTTAGGCGACAGTGCGGTGCTCTACTGCGGAACACAACTGCAAATTTCTGTGAATGAAGGGCTCTTAAATCGGTGAGGAGGAGTTCACTATTCATTCCAAACATTCTATACTATCAGAATGTATAGCATAGATCTAAACATTCCATTTGATTGTATGAGTCAAATGTTTTAGCCAGTTTTTTATTTTATTTTTTTTTAACTCTGACACAGTCTACCTTAGTCTAGTCTAGTCTATACTAGTCTACCTTATATTTCATTTAAACTTATTTTTGGAAATCAATGTAACATTACTTTTAATATGGAGGCACTTGTTTTTATTCTTGTGTATGTCCGAGGCTGATCAGTTACTTCTCATTATTGTTTTTAGATCAGAAAATGTCAGGCACAAAGGGCTCATCGCTATGTCGCCTGGGTCTAATAGTGACGCTGGCTTGTATCATCTCTCTGAGCTTGATGTTTGTCATGTTTCAATCTCCAAAAAACTGTCCTCTTCCACCTCCTAGACCTGAACAAAGTTTGTCTCCTGAGAGCAAGAGCTCTCTTACTAATGCAATAGAAGACAAACCCGTTCTTCTACTTTGGTTCTGGCCGGAAAATTACAGGTTTGACTTCAGCGACTGCAAAACAATTTACAATATCGACAATTGTCATGTGACGGATGATCGATCTCTCTACGACAATGCAGATGCTGTCCTCATTTTTCACAAAGCCATCAGTTGGGACCTGACCAACCTTCCTCAATCTCCTCGTCCTCCGTTCCAGAGGTGGATTTGGTTTCATGTCGAATCGCCAACCAACACCCATAGAATACCAGGTCTGGAAAACCTGTTCAATCTCACTCTCAGCTACAGACATGATGCTGATATTCCTGTACGGTTGAAATTAAACACTAGGAAGAAACCAGATACGGAGTTTGTAATTCCCAAAAAGGACAAACTGGTGTGTTGGATTGTGAGTAACAATGCTCCCTCAACAGGTGTTGGCACTAGGAACAAGTTTTACCAAGAATTCAGCAAACACATCCAAGTGACTATGTTCGGAAAGGCTTATTCAAAGTTCTTGGATCCTAGCGAATACTATCCCACCCTAGCTAGCTGCAAGTTTTACCTTTCCTTTGAGAACTCCATCCACAAGGACTACATCACTGAGAAAATAAATGGGCCGTTTGCTGCAGGAACCGTCCCTGTGGTTCTGGGTCCTCCTAGAAAAAACTATGAAAACTTTGTTCCCGGCGATTCCTTCATTCATGTGAACGACTTCCCAGATCCAAAGTCACTAGCAGACTATCTGCTTCAGCTGGACAAGGACGACGAAGCGTACCGCAGGTACTTTAACTGGAGGAAATATCTCTATCCAACTCCTCATTTAGTACAACAACTCCAAGAGTTTATTCTGCCTATTTGCACCGCCTGTGACCATATAGGACGACACAGAGAATATAAACAAGCTCATGATCTCTATGAATGGTATTTCAACTGAAGTCACCAATGATTCATTTTTGGATAATCATTATAGGTTTGCTTGTGTAAGGATGTATAAAAAGTCTTTTTCGAGATACTGTATTTTTAATATCATTTTGTAACCTTTTACTAATCAATTAAACCATAAACAATTATTGCACAAGCACTCGTGGAACAGTCCATAAGTTTTACACTTTTGGCGTGACTCATGAACTTGTTTTATAGTCTCTATGCAGGAGGCATTGTGAACAGAACAATACACGCTAATGTCTGTAATGTAAGATGCCTAAGACAGAACTAGGCTACAGGTCTGAGACAAACCACGTGTGACACGTGACCCCGCAAGTGCCTTGGTGGAGTGACCTCTCACAGAACTGGCAGATCTGGCTCAGGCCATGAAGATGAGATGAACTGCAGGACTTAAAGCAGACTCGTCATTCAATGTCTGAGTTGTTAAATCTCAAATATTTAAATAAAGCAGTTGTAATTGAAAGGACATTACTTGAGTTTTATACAGATTTTCATGTCTTTCATTGTTGCCTGGTTGTTTCTTTTAATACAAATGGGGAACAGATTGTAAGCAAATAAAACTGGTTAACACTGATTCATCCTTGGGCGTGGTAGCAGCTTGTTAGCGTCTATTCAAATCACACTGTTTTTATTATATAGCCTATCATATTATAGTATATTTACTGTAATTATAATTAGGCAGTGTCAAGGAAGAAGGTTTCCAACCTTCTTGCGTTGACTACTTGCACTGTTTCTGAGATTCATTTACTATTGACACATGGTCTAAAAATTCACTTACACTGACAAACGAATTGTACATTTAATATAGAATACATTTTTATAACTGCTATCTCATAATCATAACATGTGTACATTTTTGACATACAAGTTTAAATTTAAACTCTTATGCCAGGACAAAAGATGGCGCCAGAACGCAAACTGTGAAACAGGAAGTGACGGTCTTGAAACGTGTGATGTTTTATAGTCGTTTCACACAGATATCATGTGGATTTTCACAGTTTGAGTTTATGTTTATGGGTTTCTTTTAATTTGTCATTTAACTCATCGGCTATTTGTTTTGTAACCCTGGTTTAACGTTTTATTTAACCTACTCAAACACGTCATCGTCCTACATCTTCACTGTGGTTAAATGATTTACACCCGTAGGAAGCACTAAAGGTTTGTACTGTATATTTGATCGGCTTCATAAAGTTCAGCTACTATTTAATATTCTACTTTAATTCTGTAATAATATGATTCTCTCGAAAATTATTCTGAAATGCTTCGATTTTCTTAAATACTTTCATATTCATCCATACAGTTTCTGACCGACTGTTAACCCTTCAGACACTGAATTTATTTTAGTTATTAACGTTAGTTTGTTTAAATCGGCCATAGACTAGTTACAAACTCTTTATCAAACTGTGCATTGTGGTTTTTGCGTGTAATGCTTTGCAAGATGTAAACAACACTGGTCCAGAAACACTTCCTGTTTCAGTTTTCTTTAAGAAAACATCTTAAAGATGTTTGTTTAACTTTTTGATTCAGTTTTATATGTTCTGTTGGTTGTATTTTATCTCAGCTTTTATGTTGTGGTAAAAAACTGAAACAGGAAGTGCTTCTGGACCAGTGTTGTTTACGTCTTTCAAAATGGTCTGTATTCATGTTTGGATAAATAATCGTGTACATGTTTATTCTTTAACATCTTTCGAATCAAACCGTACTGTATTGGGTTAATAAATATTACAAAAAATTGTAATTCGTAGAATTCATATTCAAGCTAAACAACATTAGCTACGTTCATTAAATGGAAGTATTCCTGCTTTAAATCTATCTATCTATCTATCTATCTATCTATCTATCTATCTATCTATCTATCTATCTATCTATCTATCTATGCATCTATGCACACATATATATTATATAAACAAACATTTATGTTAGATGCAATTAAAAGATTTGACCACAATAACTTTTTTAAATAAAGGCAAAAATTATCCAGTAAAAAATGCATGAAATATGTCTGTGAAAATATTTAGCTTTTCTTATGTTTTTTTTTCTACTCACTATAATACTGTACTTTCTGTAGATGTATTATGTATTTCTTTGAATCAATTTTTGAGATCAATTAATTTATTTTAATCATTTTATTTTAGTGACCTAACTAGTTCCTCTAGTCTTATTTTTTATAATTCAATTATTTGTACACACTTTTCCAAACCCCCTAGCACTTCTTTGTAGTGTATGTAATGTAATCTAATAAAAACGAAATATTTTCCACAAATATGCATATTTATAATATACATATTTCACTGTATAAATTTGGTCTTTGTATATGAAAAAGAAGTATGCCTTTGAAATGACCAGACGTTGATATTCTGAGGACAGTGACCTCTAATATCCTGAAAAGGCCTGTGTGAAAGATCACTTCAGCATGTGTTTTGATGAGTTATGTGATGATATGTGAAATGCTCTGCAGGTCCGCGTGTGCATCCCCATCATGCCCGTCCAGTGCAGTCACTGCGTTCAGAGACGGGCCGTGCTGAAGCGGCCCAAGACCGGACACTCCCTCTGTAAAGACTGCTTCTTCTGGGCGTTTGAGGAGGAGATCCATCAAACCATCATGTCCGCTGCGCTCTTTAATCGCGGGGAGACCGTGGCCATCGGTGCCTCGGGCGGGAAGGACTCGACCGTCCTGGCCCACGTGATGAAGCTCCTGAACGAGCGCTACGATTACGGGCTGAACCTCCTGCTGCTGTCGGTGGATGAGGGCATCACGGGTTACAGAGATGACTCCCTGGAGACGGTGAAGAGGAACCAGCAGCAGTACGAGCTCCCGCTGAAGATCGTGTCTTACGAAGAGCTGTACGGCTGGACGATGGACGCCATCGTGAAGCAGGTGGGCTTGAAGAACAACTGCACTTTCTGTGGTGTGTTTCGCAGGCAGGCGCTGGACCGAGGAGCCATGATGCTGAAGGTGGACAAGATATGCACAGGCGAGTAATGTCCTTTCCAACATGTGTTCACGAGACATTCGGCGAGAGTTAATGCATTGCATTTTGTGAATTAATACACTTAAATTTATGCAATTTAATTCTCACAGTTTAGTTTTGTTATATATTTCCGTTTTTGTTTGTGTATTATTCAACATTGGGGTGATTCTAAGATCATCCTCTACTGACGAACAATACTAAATAAGATAAAGTTAAAATAAAAGAGTCGACTCAAATTGAATTCACTTCTTGGAAGGATGATGATGTCGTTCGTTATTGATATGGAGTAGTTCATTGCTTTAGGCAGCTTAAAGAATATAGAGACGATAAAGTCAGAATGTTAGCTTTTGAATTCATATATTATGTTTTTTTGTGTGATAAACAGAGCATATTTTTAGGACTGTTTTCATCAGTCAATTATGCAATTATTTGCAAGTAATGCAAAAAAAAAATATAGATAATTTTCCGAAACAATTTCACTGACTGTCATTTTTGTTGTACTGCCTTTATATTGTAATGCTCATTCACTAAAACTGTTTATGCATTTAAAAAATGTGGCAATTGTTTAATTGTTATCAAAAAATTAATGTTCTTAAAATAGGCATTTTTGTACTATATATATATATATATATATATATATTAGCGCTGTTAAATCGATTAATCGTGACTAATTGCATCTAACATAAAAGTTTGTTTACATAATATGTGTATATATTAGTATATTTATTTATTAGGGCTGGGCAACGATTAATCGCATCCAAAATAAAAGTTTGTGTTTTCATAATATATGTGTGTGTAGTGTGTATAATTATTTTGTATATATAAATACACACACATGCATGTATATATATTTAATAAATATTTGCGTGTATATACTTATATATATTTATTTAATATTATATATCTATATATAAATTTTGATATAATAATAATAACACAGTTTTCTTAAATATATACATGCATGTGTGTACGCCAGTGTTGTAGTACTCGAGACTCGGACTCGTCTCGGACTCGGTCTCGAGACCATATTTTAATGGTCTTTGTCTTGTCATGGACTCGTGTCCATTTGGACTCGGAATTGACTCGTACTCAAACATTTTTTTTTTTTAGGACTCGGAATTATTCCCGAGTCCACTCGAGTTCAATTCAAAATATTTTTCATGATTATTAATGTATGTTAATAAAATATTTCTTTAAATTGATTGACATGCCCAGTGATTGGTGATTTTCTAGTGCGCAACTGCGCATGACAAATTGTAATAAAATTACTTTTAACACCACCTACTATGTGGCCTTTTTACCCTAAACTGATCATATTTTTTAAACTCCAAGTAAATTCAGTAAAAAAAAAAAAAAAAAAAAAAGGATTTCTCTAAGTAAATAAAAGTAAATTAGGTAATCAACCCTCACTGGTCTCGGTCTCGACTCGGACTCGACTCTCTGGTCTCGGTCTTGACTCGGACTCGACTCTCTCTGGTCTCGGTGTCGACTCGGACTCGAGTGAGGTGGTCTCGACTACAACACTGGTGTACGCACTGAATTAATCGTTACCCAGCCCTATTATTTATATTATATATATTTCTGCGCATATATATATATATGTGTGTGTGTGTGTGTGTATGTATGTATATATTATACAGTATTTGCACACACACTAAGTGTATTTCCACACACACATATAATTATAGACAGTATATTATGCAAACAAACTTTTATGTTAGATGCAATAAGTCGCGATTTGACTGATTTGCACTAATACATACAATTATTTGGGGCGGGGGGAGTGCTTGTTTCATGTGGTAACATCTAAATGACCAATTTAATATGACTGAATCATCCTGAAACATTAGATTACACCTACAGATGTCTATATTTTCTGAGTTTCAGAATATTTTATGCAGTTCAACTCGTATTAATGTATTGTGAAATAGACTTTGAGTCTCTCAGAAATAGATGGAATCAAATGCGTTTGTTTGGTTGAATGAGCAGGTCACAATGCGGATGACGTGGCCGAGACGGTGTTGATGAATGTCCTGCGTGGGGATATCGCACGTCTCCGGCGCTGCACCTCCATCAGCACGGCCAGCGAAGGAGAGGGCGCCATTCCTCGCTGCAAGCCACTTAAATACGCCTACGAGAAAGAGATCGTCCTCTACGCCTACTTTAAGAAGCTGGATTACTTCTCCACAGAGTGCATCTACTCGCCGAACGCCTACCGGGGTCACGCTCGCGCCTTCCTCAAAGACCTGGAGTCCATCAGGCCCAGCTCCATCATAGACGTCATCCACTCCGGGGAGACGCTCTCCGTGAAGGCAGGGGTGAAGATGCCGGTCCAGGGGACGTGTTCTCGCTGCGGCTATATCTCCAGTCAGGCCTTGTGTAAGTCCTGTGTTCTGCTGGAGGGCCTGAATCGAGGTTTACCCAAGCTGGGCATCGGGAAACATCACCGTCTGCACGGGAAACTTCTGTCCCAGGAGCCTCTGACCGAGCAGGAGGAGAAGAAGCTGAAGGCTGTGGACTTCTGACAAAATCAAGAGTTTTTTTTTTTTTTTTTAACATGCTTGGGGTGGATGTTTATAATGTGAGGTGATTGTTTGAATTTCAACCACAGGGAAATGAATGTCACACATGTTGTGTTCATAAGTTAAAGTTGCCTTTCAGAACCAGAGACACTCTTTTTAAACTCAAACACTTTCTCAACTCACAGGAAGAATGTTTAAGATGCTTTTTTTTGTCTTATTTAAACAATAACATGACAATAAAAATGTTTTAATCATTTCTTATTTAGTTTTTATATCTGAAATGAAGATATTGGCTGCATCCAGAATCATATACTCTCTTATTATGAATAAGTAATTTCTTCACGGCTGCTAAAAAAAGTATGGGTAACACTTTAATTGAAGGGGTGTGCATAAGACTGACATAACATCCTGATATAAAGTAGCGAAAATTTCTTCTAGTTGTCCTCTTTCATAGACAGATATTTGGTTCTTGTTGTGTATTTTGTTTAAATTATCAATATTTTAATACTTTTATTTAATAAGTCATTTGCGCTGCTTCTCTCGCGAGAAAAGAATCACATTTTCACTCTTTCTCAGCTTTTTTTTTTTTTTTTTTTTTTTGCATAACAAGAACAATATATAACATACAAAAACAGAGGATCACATAGTATTACATTTATAATGGGATCAAAGAAACAATAGACAAAGAAAAAAAAGACAACACAAAAAAAAATTCAACTATACAGGGGAAACATCATTACAAAAAATTCCAAAAAGAAAGGGATTCAAAAATAGTATACATCCGATTCGCTTTTTTTATTTCTTGCATCTTTTAAGGCTTCAATATAATGTTTAAGCTCAATTTTTAATAATATAATGTTAGGTTTATTATTTGTCCATTTCTGTTTGTGAATATGGTATTTTCCATACATAACTATTAAGTTAATCACATGTGATTGGCTGTTCGCTACTGCTGATGTCACCTAAACTGAGTTGACGGAGAGAAGTGATGATCAGCATCATGGTACCAACAAAGCCTGGTTGGATTGGTTTGGTTTTGTCAACTCAAAACTAATCCTGCAACCCTGATTTTGTTCAACTGCCATCATGGCGCAGGCCACATGCCTGTATTAAATATAGTCAGTAAGATAGATAGAAATTAACAAATAGTTGTAACGTTTCCATTCAAGGCCGCCGCCGGTGTGGCGCTCTTCGACCAGCAGAGGGCGCTGCAGTGAAGCGAGTTTCTCGGTTGTGTGTTCAGTCAGTGTGATGTTTCGGGGGTCCAGTTCTGTCCAGCAGCCACAGACCAGCGTCTAGAAAAACTTGAGCTCAGACTTGTCTTCTGAAACGAGCTCTACACATCGTCTTCAGAGTCGGATTAGGAGCTGAGCACTTTCGGAAGCGCGCAAACATGGACGATCTAGGTAAAACGCATATTCCCACATGTTGTTTCCACAGAGACACAAACATAGCGGAAAAATAAGAGAGGGAGAGGGAGAGAGAGGCTAACTACAGTAGCCAGTGAGCTAACGCACTAGAGCTGTGATACAAAGTAACGTTAATACTTTCTCCGAACGCGACGTCATAGTGATACAGTGTATCCTTCAGAACGCGCTATTAGTGTCCGTTACAGTTACAATATTAGACTATCATGTGTCAACAACAACAAAATACTAATACTGAGGATGACTGTGGTTGGGCTGTACGCGGTTTTCCCCCTTTGACAAAACATATTCCGTCATTAAATAGTTATTAATCTTTTTCAAATGATTCTGCTTATTTGAAATCTCATTGTTTATCATTAATTACATTTTTCTTTCGCTCATACTTTCAGTCAGAGCCAAAACGCAGGTCGAGTCAAAGAAGTTGATCAGTAATCACAGGTTGTAGCTCCAGAGATACACAGATATGAGCTAAGACTTCAAAATATACATAATAAATATAAAATATAATACAGCTACGCCTTTGTATGTGTGTGTATAAACGTTACAATGTGTGTCAACGATCAGGATAGCACATTTGATAGATATGCAGTGTGTTGTTCAGTATGAGTGGGACCTTTGCTGTGAGAATGAGACCAGAGACTGATGCCAATGGAAACATTACAAGTGACTTTGGATAAAATGCACTAATAAGCCTCGGATAAAATGCATAAATGTTTTTGTTGCATTCGATTCATGCAATGCAACAAAAACATTTATGCATTTTATCCAAAGTGACTTTTTTTTTTTCGCAAAAATGCAACTTAGATCACTTTGGATAAAATGCACACATGTTTTTGTTCACGTATTTATTAATTAATAATGTGAAGTTAGACAATCATTATCACGTAATTGTTTTGCAGTAATGACTGGTTGACTGCATTACTTTAGCAAACCGCAGGAATAATTTGACATCTGAAGAAGGAAGATATTTGATGGTGGTGGTTCAGTTCATGTTGTTTTTCGGGCTGGAGATATAGAGGCGCAGGTCTGGAAGAGCCCGAGTGACGGGCGAGTGCATGCCGTCTTGGATGTGATGGTGTGAGGAGGACGGGGAAGTCCAGTGCCTGTGTTTGGAGTGGGGGAGGCAACTGAACTGACTCACTCGAGGGTCAAAGGTCGAATGAGAGGAGTTTTTTCCAACCAGCTGCTCACAGTGGAATGCTTTATTAGCTTTGTTAGAGGCGATCAGTGTTTCGGATTTAGAATTGGCCTGTTGATGAGGTCAAATGTGTTTGGACACTAATGCAGCGCTCTATGAAATCCATTAGTATTTTCGGGAAAAATTCGGTTCTAGATTTCATTTTAATGGTTTCATGAAATTCCAATAACTAAAATGGATGTCTAATCAATTTAATTAATAAAACAATTTAAAAGTTTATAAATATTTAAACATTAATAAGGCCCTATGAAATGTCTTTTATGTTGTTTCTGGATCCTATGTTTACTCATTTATTACCAAAAAATGGTGGAAATCAAATGAATGCATGACTTGATTAACCTTTTTTAAATGTAATCAAATTCAATTTGCACCATTCTTTTTATTTTTTTGCCAAGTGCTGCACCACCAAGGATTACAGGTAATTGTGCGGAAAAAAATGTGATATTCCTTAAAAAAAATTTAATAAATTCCTTTTATTAAATTATTAATATTCAGTTTAATAAATTATTATTATCATTACTTTGAGAAGTACATTCTTCAAAAGTAATATATTTCATTAAAAATGTCTTTAAGTCAGACCAAACTTTTATTTTGATGGTGTGTCGTGAAGACCTTTTAAGTTCCCTTATGTATATGATATGATGATAGTTTTACCAAATGAATGGGTGAAATGCTTCTGAAGTGACTCAAAGCAGCTCATTTTACACCTTAAACACCTCCAAGGGCATCCTTTTAAGTAGTTTGGCACGCAGGGATTGTATTTGTGAGAGAGATAGAGAGAGAGAGAGAGTTTCTCTGGAGCACCCAACACACACACACACATTTTTTCCAATTGGCCTCTGCATATAAACCTCAGCATTCTGGTACTCACACGAGGTTGTTGCGGTCACGCAGGTGCACAATGAGGGTGTTGTTCAAGCGACCGCTCTTCCTCATCTGGGCCTCATTGGACAAGTCGTTAAGGTAGTCGTTTGTGGAGAATCTCAGAACAATGATGATTTGTCTGTTCATTTATTTAAAGAATTTGGCTTTGGCCCACTCAACCACTTTTGTGGAGTAAACGCTTGATCATTTCCATCGGACGAGGAAACGCTCGTCTGTGGTTTATTTAAATAACATATAAAATAATACAGTAAAACAGTGATATTGTGAAATATTATTACAATTCAAAATAAGTGTAATATGCATTTTTTAAAAATTTAAAAAAAGGCACGGTTTAGATTTAAATATGCAAAAGCTTAAGAGCCTGTGATTGGATCATTATTGCAGTGATTATTATGTTTCTAGCATGTCATTTCATTTCTTAAACACACATGTAGGAACTAGAAAGAAACATCATGACCATACACTCTTAGAAGAAAATGTTCTATATAGAACCTTAAAAGGTTCTATCAGCGCTACGTATTTGGAACCCCTAAAAGGTTCTATAAACTCTTAAAAAAGGGTTCCTCTGGGTTCTATATAGAACCCTGGGGTCCATACTTGGCCAATAGAACCTTTTACCAAAAAAAAATGGTTCTATATAGAACCATTTTGGAGTTCCATATATGAAGCGGGGGATGGAACCATTTCTGGTTCTAAATAGAACCATTTCTTCTAAGAGTGTATTCCACCAGGTCCAGACCTTGATCAAACACTCATGCACATCTAGATGGAAATAACATCACAACATTAATTTGCATCAAGATGTAGATGAACATCAGTCTCACACACTCTCACCGATTCATCTGTGCAAATGATTCTTCATGCTCCTTACAATCTGAGCCTGATGAATCTTAACCTGTTAACTGTCACCCCCCCTTTTTTGAATAGACATGAAAATGCACATTTCGAACTTAAATGGTTGTAATTCAAGAATGCTTTGGAATATAGACATATGATTGGTCTTGTTTTAAAGAAGACATTTGGCAGATTTTTGTAGAAGTGAAATAAATTAAGAAAGTGAAACAGAAAAAAAGTTATAGAAGTTTGAGTTTATGGAAATGTACAATGTGAAAATATTAATTATTCATATTTTACATAAAATATATATTTTCAAAACCTGGGCTACTCTAAAATGGCAGAAAGATCAAAGCCAAAAATCTGAACAAGTTGTGTTTCAAATTTTAGGTTGATATCTCAAAAAATGAGCTTTCAGTAAGATTTTGTTTGGGCGCAGTACCAATCTTTTTCACTAGGGCACAATCAGACTCCATTACTGCCCATATAAGGGCGCCTGCATTTCCATTCGTGTTTTGAGTGATATGAACCATTATTTTCACAATTTTTATACAATTTCTGAAGTAGAGATCCTATTCAGAAGTAGTATGGGAAGTTTGGCAGATTTTTATATGAATTGAACCTCTAAGAAACACATACAAAGAACACGCATGTAAGTCATAGCTAGCTGCCACGTCACAAATGGTGAATTTATTATTTTTTTCTTGATATTTCAAACTTTTCAGACCTTTTTTTCCAAAATAATTGAATGGATTCTATCTTTTGAACTTTTGGCATGAAAACAAACTGAGGTATCTACCATTTTTTCATGATTTTTCATGTTTACTGCTATTTTAAAATAAAGGTCTGAACACGCCTATGAGTATGAAAATATTCTTGTTTTATATTGATAAATTATGGCTCCGCTGTAAT